ACCTACCCCCTGCGCAGCCCCATTCTCCTGCGGGCTAGGTTCTGCAGGCAGCAGTTGGATGTAATTTAATTTGAAATAGCCAATAGCAGGCTGGCTATTGAAACCCCGCCCACTGAGCACAGGAGCGGACCTGAGAGGGAAAGTTGTCTCTTAGTTACGCTCCTCTGCTCAGTGGGCGGGTGCAATAGCCAGCCCGCTATTGGCTTTGGCAATTTGAAATAGACGGGTGGGCGCCGTGGAGGGGTGAAAGGTCAAGGCTGCGCCCTAGGTAGCAGTGCACCCTAGGCGGCTGCCTAGTTTGCCTAGTGGCAGCACCGGCCCTGCATGACGCCCAACCGTGACTTGTGTGAAGTATCACAGTTACTGTAATACTTACAATGAGCCACCAGAGGGAGACAGAGTCGCGTCTGTAGGTGCACCTGGAGCACTGCAGGCAAGAGCCATCAGTATACCAATGACATCTTATACAGTATCAGGCTATGTGCTCCTCATGTATCATTACATACATGATGAAGGATGCAATTCACTTCATGTGCTCCTCATGTATCGTTACATACATGATGAAGGATGCAATTCACTTCATGTGCTCCTCATGTATCGTTACATACATGATGAAGGATGCAATTCACTTCATGTGCTCCTCATGTATCATTACATACATGATGAAGGATGCAATTCACTTCATGTGCTCCTCATGTGTCATTACATACATGATGAAGGATGCAATTCACTTCATGTGCTCCTCATGTATCGTGCTTTGGCAATTTGAAATAGACGGGTGGGCGCCGTGGAGGGGTGAAAGGTCAAGGCTGCGCCCTAGGTAGCAGTGCACCCTAGGCGGCTGCCTAGTTTGCCTAGTGGCAGCACCGGCCCTGCATGACGCCCAACCGTGACTTGTGTGAAGTATCACAGTTACTGTAATACTTACAATGAGCCACCAGAGGGAGACAGAGTCGCGTCTGTAGGTGCACCTGGAGCACTGCAGGCAAGAGCCATCAGTATACCAATGACATCTTATACAGTATCAGGCTATGTGCTCCTCATGTATCATTACATACATGATGAAGGATGCAATTCACTTCATGTGCTCCTCATGTATCGTTACATACATGATGAAGGATGCAATTCACTTCATGTGCTCCTCATGTATCATTACATACATGATGAAGGATGCAATTCACTTCATGTGCTCCTCATGTGTCATTACATACATGATGAAGGATGCAATTCACTTGATGTGCTCCTCATATATCGTTACATACATGATGAAGGATGCAATTCACTTCATGTGCTCCTCATGTATCGTTACATACATGATGAAGGATGCAATTCACTTCATGTGCTCCTCATATATCGTTACATACATGATGAAGGATGCAATTCACTTCATGTGCTCCTCATATATCGTTACATACATGATGAAGGATGCAATTCACTTCATGTGCTCCTCATGTATCGTTACATACATGATGAAGGATGCAATTCACTTCATGTGCTCCTCATATATCATTACATACATGATGAAGGATGCAATTTCCAGGTCACCCACAATCAAGGCCTCCATGGTGTCTTTAGTAGACATCTTGCTTTTGCACCGCATGGTTTTTATTTTACCTGGTGGCCCTCAGGGGCCGCCATCAGGGGGGTACGGCCGATAGTCATGTGAGGGGCCCGGGCAGCCTGTTGGACCTGGGACCCTTACATGGGTATTGTCCGATGGCCGTACAGGTGACAGGGGAGGAGGTGGAGGCGGCTGGGCCCCACAGCGCGGGAGGGAACTGGGCCCAAGCAGCACTGATCCTGCGGCTTCAGAGGAGGCTGAGGCCCCATCAGCGCCGCCGTTGTTCTGATATCGGACCGGTCGGAAGTGACATCAGAGGACGCCAGGCCGCAAGAGCAGGTAAGAGGAGCTGGGAGGGGAATGCAGCACTGTCCAGCCCACCTGGGACCCCTGCAGAGCCCACCATAGAGAGTCTCAGATGGGCTGTGCAGGATCTATGGTGTGCTCCGCAGGGTCACTCTCAGGTGAAGTCTCATGTGGGTTCTGAGTCCAGTGCGGTACTAAGCCCAGAGTCCAGTGCGGTACTAAGCCCAGAGTCCAGTGCGGTACTAAGCCCAGAGCGTTACTAAGCCCAGAGTCCAGTGCGTTACTAAGCCCAGAGTCCAGTGCGTTACTAAGCCCAGAGTCCAGAGCGTTACTAAGCCCAGAGTCCAGTGCGTTACTAAGCCCAGAGTCCAGTGCGTTCCTAAGCCCAGAGTCCAGTGCGTTCCTAAGCCCAGAGTCCAGTGCGTTCCTAAGCCCAGAGTCCAGTGCGTTCCTAAGCCCAGAGTCCAGTGCGGTACTAAGCCCAGAGTCCAGTGCGGTACTAAGCCCAGAGTCCAGTGCGGTACTAAGCCAAGAGTCCAGTGCGGTACTAAGCCCAGAGTCCAGTGCGTTCCTAAGCTGTGTAAGGGGCCCCAAAATTTCTGCTGGCTGCCCTGGTGACCCAGATTGCCCTCCTGCATCTGTGTCTAGGTTGAGTCTATGGAGGAGCCGCGCTATCCCCCTTGGCCATGCTCTCCTAAGGCGGCACAAGTCCATCTTCTGCTGCACAAGCATGCCAGCACATTAGCTTGACTGCTACCGATGGAAGGGGCCTGATCAAAGCTCCAGTGTGGGGACCCCAATCATTGGAAGTGATACAAACCCATTGAGAGGTTGGCCATGACCTTGCCACCGGACGTGAAGCCCGGCGCTCTGCAGAAACCAATGTAACACGTTCAATATTGGGCGACCCAACTACAGCCTGACAGCCAATGAGGAAGAACCTCAGAGGGCAAAAGGATCGGCGACCAGGAGGTAGGATAGGCCAGGCGGCAGACCATTTGGAGGGACTGTTCTCTCTGTTGGAACCAAGTCCTTGTGCAGAGCCCAGTTCTATTGGATCTGCGCCCGGCTGCATTGTCTTCTATCTCTGACCCCCCCCCATGTGACATCATATCACGGCTGCCCCAGGATAGAACTGCCCCCGGGACGGTCTTCTCATTCAGACCTCCCAGTTCTTCCCTCCATTGTGCTCTCCCTTCCCCCGTGTTTGTCACAAACACTCCGGTATCGCGGATGTGACACTCAGAGTTATCACAGCAAATATTTACCACTGGAAGACCCAAAACAAAGAGAGCCGAGCAAAAATGTTACACGACCAGAGAGGACATTCCAGGAGGAGACCGAGGATCAGAGATGCCAAGAATGTCAGCGCAGGAGGAGAGAGCAGAGTGAGAGGGGAGAGCAGAGTGAGAGGGGAGAGCAGAGTGAGAGGAGAGAGCAGAGTGAGAGAAGAGAGAGCAGAGTGAGAGAAGAGAGAGCAGAGTGAGAGAAGAGAGAGCAGAGTGAGAGAAGAGAGAGCAGAGTGAGAGAAGAGAGAGCAGAGTGAGAGAAGAGAGAGCAGAGTGAGAGAGAGAGAGCAGAGTGAGAGAGAGAGCAGAGTGAGAGGAGAGAGCAGAGTGAGAGAAGAGAGCAGAGAGGGGAGAGCAGAGTGAGAGAGCAGAGAGGGGAGACTGTCCCTTTAATCTGAGGGATGTGACATGATTGGACAATCTATAGACAGATACATGTGAGCTCCGACTTTCCCCTCCTCCCACTGGGACCGCCTGTGATGTCCCCATAGACGGGAGCGGAGTACACTGACATGCCGGGTTCCGGGTCTCCGCAGATGTATAATGACATTTCTTATATATAAAAAAAATTGAAGAGAAAGAAATGTATAAAATGAAGACT